ATTTAAGAGATATCAAGTCCCAATATTCCTGTGAGATTAGTATGTGCTATTATCTCTTTATTACAGAAGGAGAAGCCAGAAAATTGAGCAGCCTGAGTGATGTGCCAGGAGAAGGACTATAGCAGAGCTAGGATTTGAATTCATGTTTCTCAAATCCCCAAACATTGCCTACATTCTTGGGCCATCTTTCCTCTGCTCTGCCTCTAAGCCAGTAACTTTTATTGTTAATGATTTTTTCATTTAACAGTGAAAAAGACCTTATAATTTCATGCTTCTTCCTGTCTCATAAAATTTGAAAATTTTCCTTAAGAAAATCCTGCAGTTATTAAATGTGTATGGAAAGTGTGTGATACGCAAAGTCCTATCAGCACAGGGCAAAGCTAATTGAAATATGACATTCCTGGTGATGATCTGGGTCATGTCAAGGGTGTCCCCATCCTTAAATGAAGATATACACTTGATCCCCTTTTCTTTAAAGAGCTTAAAGACTTCTGAAACTTCTGGGTGTGCAGGGTGGAGGTACAGCCACGGCAGGCACTTGGGCATCCAGCACAGCCAATTTTCAACCTGGCCTGGCTGCTCTGAGTTTTGGGGTGTGCTGCTGGAGGGAACACTGCTGCTGCCACAGGGAGTGCTGCTCCATCCCTCAGCCTGCCTGGGGCAGGTAGGGCTGGCCCAGGGCAGGGAGAGCCCTGAAACTCAGCATGGCACTCAGGGCCAGAGTGAGGGTCCGAGTGAGGTTCCTGAGGGTCCGAGTGAGGTTCCTGAGGGTCAGAGTGAGGTCCCACAAGGTCATAGTGAGGTCCCTGAGGGTCTGGGTGAGGTCCTTGAGGGTCAGAGTGAGGTCCCTGATGGTCCAAGTGAAGTTCCTGAGAGTCAGAGTGAAGTTCCTGAGGGTCATAGTGAGGTCCCAAAAGGTCATACTGAGGTCCCTGAGAGTCAGAGTGAAGTTCCTGAGGGTCAGAGTGAGGTCCCACAAGGTCATAGTGAAGTCCCTGATGGTCTGAGTGAGGTCCCTGAGGGCCTGAGTGAGGTCCCTGATGGTCCGACTGGTCCCTGAGGGTCCAAGTGAGGTCCCTGAGGGCCCATGTGAGGTCCCTAATGATCAGAGTGTGGTCCCTGAGGGTCCAGGTGTGGTCCCTGAGGGTCCAGGTGTGGTCCCTTAGGGTCCGAGTGAGGTCCCTGAGGGTCAGTGTGGTACCTGAGGGTCAGTGTGGTCCCTAATGATCAGAATGAGGTCCCTGAGGGTCCAGGTGTGGTCCCTGAGGGTCCAGGTATGGTCCCTGAGGGTCAGTGTGGTCCCTAATGATCAGAATGAGGTCCCTGAGGGCCCAAGTGAGGTCCCTGAGGGTCAGTGAGGTCCCTGAGGGTCAGTGTGGTCCCTAATGACCAGAGTGAGGTCCCTGAGGGTCAGTGTGGTCCCTAATGATCAGATTGAGGTCCCTGAGGGCCCGAGTGAGGTCTCTCAGTGCTGTGGTCACTGTTCCTGCACACAAAGCCCATCTAATGTCCCTATAAATGGCTCTTCATCCTGATCTGCGGTCCTGCTGAGCATCCCTGGGCACAGCCTGGTCCTGTTCCAGTGGGGGAGCGTCTCTGCTGCTCATGGAGATGAACAGGAGAATTGAATTGCAAGAATTCAAATGTGGGGAAAATTAAATTTCCTTTTTGTCCCGCCATTACATTTCATGTGTTGTAGTGTAATTCCTGTGTAGCACAGGCACAACCAATAAACAACACCCTTTGTTTTCATTGCTCCTGCAAGATATGTTAGAAATCATATAACTGATAGGTCTTTAGATTTTGAATATGGGATGGTCATTGGAAAATGCATCTCCAGGGAGGAAGGAGAGCTCTGGGGAGTAAGAAAGATCTGTTGATGTAAAATGAAAAGTTTATGCTCATACTACATCATTTGAGAAATTTAAATAGGTGAAACACCATGAGTTTGGCAAAGTAGATTTGTATCTGGCAGCCTTTGCTTTTCCTTCAGAACTGTTTAATATCAGAAAATGAGATGTACCTCCCAGAACTGCTTCTGGCTGTGGCTCTTCCTTGGAGCTCACTGCATTGTGGAGCATTCTAGAGCTTACCACTGGGGTTCAGCAAAGTGGGATTTCTCACTAAGAAGTTAACCCTTTATCTTTTACACATGTTTTAATGTCTTTTACATGTTGAAATATGTTTGTATCTGTTAACGCATTAACGAGAGCAGTTTATCTGTGACCTACCAAAAGCCACTGCACACTAATCAGGGCAGATTTGGGCAGATGGGTCAAAGATCAGAGTCCTTGTCTGTGTGTGCAGAGGGAGGGCTGTGCCCCCTCCTAAATTCTTGTGCAGCCCCAGCTCACTGGTTTATGAGGGAGAGTGAGGAAAAAGAAGAGAAAAAAAAATAATGAAGACAACCCTGATGCTGTGCAAACACTGCTCAGCCATAGCTGACCACAGCAATAGCACCCTTATCAGCACTGCTTTAGTCACAAATCCAAAATGCAGCCCCACGTGGGCTTCTGTGATGACAATCAACCCTACCCCTGTCACACTTAAAATACTTCTGGTTTTCTGTACTGTGAAGTTTCTGCTTTCCTCATCTGCACCCCAGAGGAGCCCTGTTATGAGCACACCTAGAAAGGAGAAGAGAAGCAGTGGCAGGGTGGTTTTGTTTGTTGAGAGTTTGTTGTTGTGGTGGGTTTTCCCTTATCTTGAAGGATAGTTTACACAGCTAAATGACACAGTTATAAAATATATATATATATTGGGCCTACACTGAGAAAAAAATTGATCTGAAATCCTTCACAAATTATGTTTTTATCAAGACCAAGATGTTGTGTGCTATTGATTTTTAGATCCGCACAGCCTACAAGTAATAGAAATTGCAGAGACAAAATAATTTAAGATGGTTTTCTGTCTTTTGTGTAAGCCAGGTTAGGACATTGAAGAACAAATCAATTTCTTTGCCACTCAGCTTCCTTGAAACCCAAAAGAAAATTTCAGCATGAGTTGTGATTTCCAAATATTTGTATTTTCTGGTTGCAAGTCTTTTCCTGCAGGCAATAGGCCTTGTTTTGTCTGACACGCTTTTTTGCACCTTGGTTGCTAGTAGTACAACAAGGAGTTGTAAAGAAAAGCATAGAGGAGCACCATGGATGAAACCTAGCAGCAAAAATGTGAAATGGAATTATGTAAAAATCTCATGCAAGTAGCAAGATCTGCAGAGGATTCAATCTGAAGGAAGGGGGGCAATGCTGAAGTGGCAGAAGCCCCATCTCTGGGGTTGGGTTCTCCTCCCCTGTGTGCTCTGATCACACTTTGAGGGGATCAGTTCTGCTAAAACAGTCGAATAATCTGACAATGGGAGCTGGATGGATCAGCTTCATGGAGGTGTCTTTGTCATTCAGGGCAGAAATTCTGAATACATGAATCATTTGGCTTCAAATAACACTCACCTGGAGAAATAAAACAATGATGAGAGCTAATAAGACAATAAATCCACTAAAACTAATGAAAGAAGAGAGTACACAAGTGATTTTATGGCAGCACAATACAAATCCTATGACTGACTCAGGAATATTTATTTAAGGAATGTGTTCAGGAGGATTTAGATTTAAAAGCTAAAGAATAGCACACTCTGTGTTTGATAATTTGTGGATAAAAAAATACTTATTTAGACTTGATGTATAACTACCACAGGAAACCTGCATTTGCATAACTTGATGAATAATATTAGAGTCAGCTTTGTTGGGTACCAGAGGGAGAAAGCGGTAACATTCTGCAGAGAGTACTTTTAAAGCAGCTCCAAAGTTCACTTGTTGAAATGCTAAAAATATTTTGTACCAAGTGATGTGCAGTTAAATGGAACAGACTGATCCTCAGTTGGTTTAGGGGTATTTGTATCATCACCTAGTTTTCCCTGAAAGACACTTTGATGTTATAGGAGACAACTTCTTCATGACTCAGATTCTTAAAGAAAATGGCCCATATTTAAATTGACTGTGGCTCTGTCTCCAGATGTCAGTTAATTATTTCTTTCAGAACACTGGTCCCAAATGCAGATCCTGGTAAACAGCTCCCTCATGACTGCTCCTTCCTGGATTCCAAACTCTGCCTTTGTGGTTTCTTTTTTAGCGTCCAAAGTGGGGAAATTATCCCAAGCACTGCTTTGCCTGCACCCTCTGGAGATTTCATCAGTGTGTCCCAGGCACACTCATTTTCCTCTTCTTTCTGTTCCATCCCACTTTTCCTCCTTTGGGATGCTTCTCCTGCTCCCCTCAGAACTGGGAATGAAGTCCTGCATGGATTCATGCTGCATTCCAGGGGGAGATTTTGTCCCTTCCTTTATGGGCTCTCTGGGTTCAATGCTGAAGGAACAGAGGGGAGAAAAACAACGTAATTCTTTCATTGCTAATAGTGCAGGATGGAAAGAATGAAAGCCCTAAAATGTATGAAAAAGGCCACCTGAGAATATTCTAACCTGAAAAAAAACCAAATTCCAGATTTCCAAGGACTAATCTTCTGTGCAGCAAAGCTGGGAAGGTTCTCATACAAAAATCTGTACTTTAGGGAGGAGGGATTAGCTGCTTGAACTGCAACAGCAATGGAACCACTACAGCAAGGTTGGGCTGGAAGGCAAAACCCACCTATGACACAGCTATTCAGCAAATCCCACAGAATGGAATCAGGATCTGTCTGTGGCAGATACAGTCATTGCTGATAAAGGACATGTGGTGCAGATTGCAGATACAGGTTATGCTGGGGCAGGAGGAGAGGGATTCACTGTAAGGACGAGGAGGGCAGGGGAAAGGCAGCCAGACCCAGAGGAGAGCAGCAGTGTGAAAAATGACAATCACTTGGTTTTTAAAAATTTTAAAAGTTTAATAATAATATAAAAATAGTAATACAATTAGAATAATAAAGTTTAGAGTTAGGACAATTACAAGACAAGAAAAGAAAAGAATGACGGACGTCCGGATGCTCTCGGGCACTAAGTCATGAAAAGCATGCCTTGTGAACAAAGGAATAACCTTAAAAGCAATAGCCTGTTGCACATTCATATATTTCATACATGGTTCATAAATTCCTTGCAAATTAAGAACTTTTGTGGTTTTTGTCAACAACTTCTCCTTAATCCTGTTGGTTCCACAAAGACAGAGAGAAGGTGGAAGAATGTTTGTCTTTTCTGATGAGGCAGTAACTCTTCATGGGCCCGTTTCGCTGACATCTCTGTATGAAGAGTTTCTTGATTATCTCATCTTCCTGCTTGAGCTTGTATCAAATCCTATATTGCAGAGTTTCTATTTTAACATTAGGTTGTAATCTAAAACTACATTTAACACACTCCAGAAGAGAACTGATACAGCATAACTTTCTAACAGTACACATATAATATTCATTGTAACATTTGCAAAAATCCAATCATAAAATAGGCATTTTTCACAGCGGCCTTAGAGACACTTGGCTAGTGTGGACTGGAAATTAGGATCTCAGCACAGAGGAGAGATGTGATGGGGAGATTTTAGGGGCACATCCATGAACCAGGAGGCTGAAGTGTATTGCATCCATTGGGTCTGCCAGAATTTCACTGGAATGAATAAACGGTGATTTTTTACAGTGAAGGGGCTTGATGAAGTCCATGGGAATCTACAGTGTTCAGTTTCTAAAAGGGACAAAATAATGTCACATATTTCTGTTGAGACAGGATTGTTCCAAGCAGGCAGAATGAAAACTGACTGGTAAAGTGCAGAAAGCTGAAGGATTAAGTGCCAGAATCAAATTCACTTGGAGAATTTCATAATAGATGGAAATCTCTCCTTGATGAGGGCATGCATGGCTATTATTGCTCAGAAGTGTTTTTTTGGAAACATCAGATGGAGTTCTCAGCAGCATTAGTTCCATGCTTGACAGCTGTCAGAAAAAGCAAATTGAATATTTAGCAATTTTGAGAGGCATCCAACACAGAAAATACAGCCCTGTTTCTGCTGGAATTGGTTTCACATGTGCTGCTGTACACAAATTTTGGTTCCCCTGTGTCTCACAGAGGTGTGGTCCAGAGGAAGGTGGAAGGAATGACAGAGGGGAGGAGGAGCTGCAGTGCAGGGGAGACAGGGAATTCATGGTACAGACTTTCCCTTGGGAAAGGAGTGACAGATGAGTGAAATGGAGAAAAGGATAGATTGGAATTATTATTGATATTGATTTGAATATTGATGTTCTAGTGATATTACTCATAAGGCAGGGATTATGAGCTCAATGACTCATGAAAAGCATGGCTCTTTTTGTGCTGTTCAACAGCTTTTCCACTGGATAGTTCAGATGCAAAAAATAAATGCAAGTTAAGAATAATTGTCTAAATTACTGTATGGTATTTCTTACACAACAAAATGCAGGTTATCCCTCTTTGCAGATTACTGTGGGCAACACTGGTGCTTGTATTCTTTCATAAACACCTAAAGGGGATTGTTGTTGGACAGGGGATTTTAACTGACACAATCCAGTTAAACCAGCTCCTCTGATGTATGGCATTAGAATTGTATTTATGGACCTGGTGTGTGGCTCTTGGTTATGGTTTTTTTATGTACAGAAATTGTGTATCTATAAATACACAATGGGAAATTTAAAGACAGGTATCAGCATTTATGTTATTCAGTGGCATTAAAAATGTATTTGTTGAATTATGATGAAAGAATACTATTTAAATCTTTTAAAGTAGCAGTAGTTTTCTTGAAAGCTATTTTCTATTGAATGGATTCCTATCACATTATTTTAGATTCCAAAATGTTTTATTGATCTGTTTAGGGAGAAAATCAGCGCCTTGGCTTTCAGGTAAACCTCATCTCAGGATCCTGTGATGTGGGATGCAGTTTCAGTTTCACTCTGCTTTGATCCTTAGCTACCCAATCCTCCTTTTTATTAATGGTAGAAGAAAATTTGTATTTTATAGTCAGCAATACCAATGATGCTGTAAGCCAGCTGCTTTCCCAGGCAGTGCTGGTGGGAAGGGAAATGCTTTCAAACCAAGTGTGTTCCTTGTTGCTGGCAGTGCTCCTAGGAGCAAACCTGGTACGTTTTGTAGCTCCCCTTCTGTGTTCCTGCAGCCTCTGGGGATGGGTTCATGACTTCAATTATAGGTCCAAGACTGAAAAAAACCAGTAAAATACATTATAGTCAGACAACCCTTCCAGTTATTTGAATGTGTGATTTTAATTATCTTATAATTTAAGTGTTTTCTCAGCCAAAGATCAAGGAGTGTCAGTTTGGTGTCTGTGTGGGGATGGGCTTTTCTTTTTAATCTCCAGCCTTAATCAACCTTTTGTGTCTTCTGCTGCCCAGAGTAGTTGTGACCTGGAGTGGCCTGACACTGTTTTGTGGATATAATTAATATAATTATAGGATCAATAATAAATATCATTAATATAAGAATATGGTACAGGCCACAGTATTTATTTGCTGCTTTTTTACCAGCATTCCTAAGTTTAGCTGAACACAGAGAATAATGAATTATTTAATTAATTTTTGGAGTAAATTTGGGTGTTTACATAATGGAGAAAAACTGGAGGGAAAACCCATTTACATAAGAATTCAGGAGCAAATGAAAGAAAGCTAACTGCATCCTCATTATTCTATTTGAATGCAGCGTGCCAGCCAACTCTGCCATTTGGTGGAAGGCCTTATTAATGACTCCTAAATGAGCAGACTTGGGATGGTGATATTATCTGTGATGCATTATTGAATCAACAGAAATAAACCTGCTGTCATTAGCCTAATTATTTAGATATGCTGGAAGATAATGACTATTTTAAGTGCAAATAAGCTGCAGTTAGCAAGCAACTAACCAAATAAATAAGTGAGGTGGGATAGCAAGGGAGTGACTCGGGGGAGCAGGGAGGGAAAGGGGAGAAATGCAAGGAATTGCTGGAGAAAAACGCTCAGGATGCCATTTCTCACTGTTCCAAGGAGGGCAAAGCACTGCTCCCCGAGATGGAGGGATGGGGGGATGGAGGGATGGGGGGATTGATAGAAAGGCAGAGGTGATATTGGATGGATGAATAGATAGAAAGAAAGGCAGAGGTGATATTGGATAGATGGATAGATAAATGGATGTGATATTTTAATTGGATTTAAGGTTCTTTCAATTTTAACTCTCCTGCTTTGCCAGAACATCTGTCTGAAGTGAACTCTGAGCCTGTGCTAGATCAGCTCTGCCCCTGGCCATGGGTGCATCTGTGAATGCTGGAATTACCCACAGATGGGCTGGCTGGGCTCAGCAGCACCAGCTCACTGGGGTTTGGCTGCTCTGCTGCCCTTCAGTGGAACAAACTGGGACTAGAAATCAGTGCCCAGAAGGTAAAATAACTCTTCCTGTTAACAGTTAGGGAAAGGGAAAAAAAAAAAAAAGAGAGAAGGAAACAAAATTAACTTCCTGAAAAATACTTGTCAACTGTAGTTGAATAACTGCTAATTTGAATGTCAAGTTTTCTCATTAATCCCTTGATTAAAACAATTTACTTTTTATAGCCAAAATACTTGCATAAATATAGAAAATATAATAATGTATAAGTTATATTTAAAACCTTTTTTCTGAGGTTAGATGTGTTGGTAATTAAGTCTGTCTGTCAGAAGAAAATAAGGGTTAGAGGCATGTCCTCATAGTTGCATGCAGGAATCTGTCTTTATGCATCATTTTTCCCTAATTAGCTCTTAAAATAAAGAAAAAGCAGTTGTTTTGTGTGCTGTTTTGGGTTGTCGTTGAGATTTTTTCTCGATATCAATGTGAAACTAGTGAAAAGAGTTCTTTCTGATTGCAGGAAGCCTGTACTGTATAACAGAAGAGGAAATTTTAGAATTAAATTTTCTTTAAGTGTCTGTGACTTCACAGTTTGCTAATAAATTCCCTTTTTTTATTTCATTATGGATTGTGGGGCTTTTGTTACCTGCAAGATTTTATGTAATTTCATCCTGGTTCTCTTTTAAGTGATTATAGACTGGAAGATCCTCTGAGCAAGGGGTAAAGGGGAATCCTTTGCTCTGAGTGCTCAAAAAGAGACACAAAAAAAAGCCCCAGAAGGCAAACAGAAACAAAGCTTCCTGCAGTTCAGCTGAAGATTTCTCCTTAGTGGAATAACTCTCCTGTTAATTCTCAGTTCAGAATCATCTCCTGTGAGTGTTTACCACCCATTAGAATTCATCCTCTATTATACTTAGAGCACAAGATTTATGTGGTGTGAGTACATTTACTTTCCCATGCTTCTTGTTGGGTTATTACCTAAGGATTTTTTTAAACTGAGTTTTCTGCTCTTTCTGAAATTCACTTAGAAAGCCCTATCAGACATTTTCATATGCAAAATGTGTTTCAAGCAGAAAAGCACTGTGCTCTCCACCTTGAGCTGCTAACAGGTGCTCACAGACTGCAGGTTTTTTTGTTTTTAATGAGGGCAAAGGATCTTTGTTGAGCCAGGACAGAGTTCCTCTTGTAGTGACATCAGAGAAGGATTAAAATGCCAATAATATCAGGACTTTCTCAGGTCTGCTGTTAACAATACAATGGTGTTAAACATGCCGAGATAGATGTGGTGATTTTTATTCCATTTCTCATTTCAGTGGCTTCATGTTGCTCATGCTTTGGCATGAAAGGTAAATTAAATGGTATTTCAGTTAAGAGAGTTGCATGTGTTTTGATACCAAAGTAGTTTCCTTTCTGGAAAAGTTTAACCTACAACAAAATTGTAATGCTCAAAATAGACAGAAGAGAAAGCACTGCACAGAGTCCTTATGAAACCATTCTGAAGTTGATTAATGTTTCATGGAGTTTATTTACAATATGTATAATAGAATTTTGCATAATTCAAAAGCATGCTATTTGATCTTGCAGCATTTATTGAACTAAGAGTTTTTATAAAATGCATAAACAAATATATCAAACAAATGGTAGAAGCACTCCAGGGTAAAGTACATCATCTGGCTGAGAACTCTATCTGAAGTGCTACTCGAGATTCTCAGTGTGCAAATGCCCTGTACACAATGAGCCTTTAAAACACATTTTCATATTTAAAGTGATTCCTCTATCCTTTAGTACAAAAAATATTTTTTTTTTGGAGTCATAATGATTGGAGCCAGTAAGGCATAAATAGGCACCACATGAAGATTGATGCAGGTCCTCAGTAAATCCTGGTTCTTGGAGGGGGTTATTCTTGCAGATCTACAGTTTGAAGATTCAGTCTTTTGGGAGTCACTCACACTTCCCCTGCATGGGGGGTGGGGGATGTCATCAAACTCATTCCAGAAAGAGCCTTCATCCAGACAGAGACACTGATTATCCCTGGGGTTTTCAGTGCTTTTCTGATATCATTTTCTTGATATCATCTCGATATAATTTTCTTATCCTTGGTCCTGGTGTGCCTGGTTCTGTTAGGGACATGATTCATGTGGAGGGAGCCTGCAACAAACCCAGCTGCAAAGGCAGTGGGCTAAGCTTGTGATAACTGAAATGTGTCTTGAGACAGATTTTTCCTTTCCAGGTTTTTACTTTCTTTTTAGTCCCAGATTTTTCTTTGTTTAGTTAATGACATGTAATCATTGCAGCAGCCTGTGAAACAAGCACTGAAACATCTGCATGTTATTCACGAGCCATTGCTGCTGCGTGTAGAAGAGAAAAATATCCCTCACTGACTTCTCCCACCTCCCAGTCTGGGCTAGAGACTGGCAGGACAGAAAGCAACCTTAGAAAAACTGATAATTGATAATGGGAAGTTAGATTCAAATTTGGGTTAATTTGCCAATCTCAGCTCTTTGGCTGCTGATGCTTTTAAAAGTTTTGGAGGTCTGATTTCTGTGTGGGGTTTTGGGTGGTGTTTTCTTTGCCTGCCAAGTTTTCCCAAATGCCACAGGTTTATTTCACATCCCATCCAATCTCCTTGGCTCATCCAGTGTTTTTGTCAGGGAATATCTCTGTGGTGCTGTGGGCATGAAGCAAGCAAAACCAAAAAGAAAAATGTATTGTTTGGAAGATATTTAAGAATACCATTGCCTGGAAGAGGAACGGCAGAATTAAAAATTAGTCAGTTTTCTTCTTGCTACATAGAATTCTGCAATATGACATCTCCAAGTATCATCATTCTGTGATGATATAGGGACAGTGTCTAATTATTTTCATTCTGTAACTTCCAAATCTATGTTTTGTTGTTTATTAGCCCTGAAAGGCCTCTGACTCTGCAGCAGTATGGAGGTTTGCATGTAAAAACAGAAGAGGTGACCCACCACAGATCCCAAATCCTCCAGTGGTGCAGTTGCAGACCTCCCTCTGTGCCTGTCCAGTGCTCCAGGGAGGGTGTGGAGGAAGAACTCGCTTACAGGGGTTTTTAAGGAAGAATAGGCCTTAAATGTAAATCTTGTTGTGCTACTAGAATCATGATTTATTGAATCACAGAGAGATTGGAAGATTATTATAGACTATTATTTAATATATTAAATATATATTATTCTATAATAATCCAGATTATTATAGAATAATAATTGAAAGATTATTATAGAATTATATTAGATTATGATAGAATTATTATAGAATCACAGAGAGGTTGGAAGAGACTAAGAGCTCCCACCCCTGCCATGGCAGGGACACCTTCCACTGTCCCAGCTGCTCCAAGCCCCAGTGTCCAGCCTGGCCTTGGACATTTCCAGGGATCCAGGGGCAGCCACAGCTGCTCTAGGCACCCTGTGCCAGGGCTGCCCACCCTCCCAGTGTGGGATAGTGTCTTCTGTAAAACTAATAAGAATGTGCAGCTGAGGATGGTGGACTAAAGGAGGGACCACTAATGTAGTGGAAAAAAAAAAAAATCAATGATATTACTGAAAAAGGAAAAGAAAAGCTGTGTATTAGCACATGGAAAGAGCCAGCAGTGTGCCTTCCTGGCAGAGAGGCTGCATGGTGTGTGCTGGGCTGCTGAAGGAGGGTTGCTGGCATGTGGGGTGGCTCCTTCTGTCTGCTCAGTGCTGGGGGGGCCATGCTGGGGTTGTGGGGCCACTGTGGCATCCCCAGGACGCAGCGATGTGGCACTGCTTAGCCTGAGGGGAGGAGGCTCAGGGGTCCAGCTCAGCTGGGGACAGGGTGCCAGGACCTTTCAGCAGTGCCTGGTGGCAGAGCAGAGGTGCACAGACTGGCACTGGGGGTTCCCTGTGCTCAGGAGACATTCCCCACTGCGAGGCTGGCTGAGCACTGAGGGCTGGGCACCTTCTGGGCATCTTCTGGGCTCTTGGGGCTGTGCCAAAGCCGGCTGGACACTGTCCAGGGCAGCTCTGGGTGTCCCTGCTTGATGTCCAGAGCTCCTGTCCATCCTCAGCAGCCTGAGGGTTAATTATGCAACAGTGCCAATGTGAGAGGTTCATGTAACTCCTTCAGGCCTCAGCCTCTTCTGCAACATCATTAAACACTTCAGCAGAGATGCAAGAAGAGAAAAGGAGAGGAGAGAATGTTACTTTACAGGGAGTAGTGATTGACATAATTAAATTAGCTAAGAGTCATGCCCTTTCATTTATGTCAGCCACTGCCCAGTGTGATCTCCAAGCATTTCAGGCTCCTACATGTTGATACATGGAGATAACATCTGTGCCACAACAGTTAGGGAATTTTGTCTTTTCCTTGTGTGAAGGATGAACTTGGAATTTAAATGAACAGAATATATCCTAAACCAGACAACAAGTGCACGGCAAGCCTCCTAATAGCAAACATCATTTAGTGCCAGGGAGAGGTTTTCTCTGTTGGAGATCTTAAAAAAAAAAAAAAAAATTAGCCCTACTCTGTCAAGGACAGCAGAAATAAAATTTGATCCTATACTGGAGCTATGGAATGGAGCAGTGAAATCTCAAGGTGCCCTTATTTAAACACTTGTCTAAAGACAAGGTTTAGGATTCTCTTGGAAATTTGCATTGTCAGCTGAATGCATTGAAAAGATAACATTCCCATGCAGAAGTGAGCGAGGGTATGGAGTATTTTAAAACAGAATAACCTTATCTAAAAAACCCAACCAGCCTCAAACAAAAGACTCCCCACAGCCCAAAACAATGTGATCACTGTAGTCCAGTATATCCAAACTGATTTGTTCTTTGTTTTTCCTTCTTTCTACCTACACTCCTTGGCAGTAACACTTCTCTGAAAAAGAATTTTCACTCTGCTGCTTTCCTTGCTGTGCTAATCACCTGTATCTGAAAATACATCTTCAAAATTGTTTTACTCTGACAGGTCAGCAGATAAAAACTGGATACCAGGGGGTAAATGCACTCACTAATAGACTTGCTTTCTGTAACCTAAGCAATATTCCAGAAAAAAACCTTGGGTCATCATTGGTGTTAGGTTTGAAAATATTACTGGAGAATGAAGTCCTGTACTTAGTTGCTGGAGACGAGATTTTTTTTTTGTTTTTCTTAGTTTCTGGTTTTTCTTGTCTCTCAGCTAATTTATGTGATAATTACCACCACAGCTGACTGACCAAAATCTTTAATGATAAAACTATAGGAGCCCAGGCACCATGGTGGGAGCAAGCTATTAGTGCCTCTACGTGTGAGACACACAGAGTGCTTTCCCCTCTCAGATTTCCCTTTAGCACAGAGTTACTCAGTGGAAATTCAAGTGTCTCCAAACGTTGCCTGCTCCTCGATTCCAGGTGAGGCTGGGGTTTTGTGCCAGGGTGTAGCACGATAAAATAAAACAATTTCCATACTGCTGATCCCACCAGTTTGTTGGGAGGGCAGAGCTTTGCAGACAGAGGCTGCTCTGCTGCAGGAACCTCTCTGAGCTGGCTGGGCAGTGCGAGCTCTGTAACGTGCTGATTATGCTGATGTGCACAAAAGGCAGGGTTGGATACATTTCCATCTTTTTCACACTTGCTGACTTATGGTCTATCACTTCTGTGCTATATATTGTCTGCAAAAAGTGATTTCTCAGGTTGAACTTAAGAATTGCTGAATTATTGATGCATTTTAAGCATGCATTAATGGCTTGGATGTGAATTTCTATATTTAACATAACCACTGATAATCTGGGCCTACTTAGGAAAGAGTGTGGTCAATTATTTTTCCCATTATCTAATGTTTGTTTCAGGAAAAGCATGATTTATAGTCATCTGATTTATTGAAATATGGGGATTTTTTGGCAATTTTAGTATTGTAGAACAGAATGTGTTTATTAATTCCATGAACTAAGGATGACTTTAAATGTTGTCCTTTCTAATAGCTGAATGCCTGCACACCAATAAAAAAAAAAAAAACATCCCTCAAACAGATCTTTGAAATTATTGAGCCATTGGTTGTTTCAGGGCAGTAATATCACAGCTTCAACAAAAAACATTCTTCACTCTGGAGCCTGGACCTAAAGCATCCAGAATCTCCCAGTATGTTCTACTAGGTAATACTGTTGGTAATAAAATCCTGGAGCAGGCATGAATGTAAAAATAATACTGTTTTAGCTGTTGGCTGGATCAGGCAGCTTCTCTGACTGGAAATTAATTGGGTTTTGTAGAGTTAGTTTTGTTTGCATCACCTGGCCCTACTGTGATGAATTGGGCAACTGTGGGACCACTGGGACCAGCATTTAGGAGGAGAGGAGAGCACTGGAAAGGGCAGCCCTGCTCCCTGGGTAATTCTGTCTATCCAAAGCACTGCCTTGGGGTCTCACACAGCATTAGGGGAGTCAGGAAAGAGCTGCTGCATCCTCCTTCCCACACTGAGGCTTTTCCTGCTTAAAAAAAATATAAAAATACCTTGAAATCTTGATTTTACACAACTGGTCAGGGACTAGAAAATTGATTGGCAATGCTGATATCAACTTAAGTTTGCTTTTAAAATCAACAATCTATTTCCAACAGCCAGAGCACGATACCCAAGGTTTCAAAAGCAGAGTGCCAGAAGGATTCTCATGCTCAGGCCAACAAGAGGGAAAGCTTTCTTTGAGCCTCTTCACGAGACAAGTGCTTTCTCTGGCATCAGTGTTTGTCCTGCTGCCAGAACCCTTCCTGTGACAACAAGGCATGAAATTTCCCTCAAGCCTGGCATCTAGCTGGATTTGCTCACTGTGGTAGGGACAGCCAGTTAAATAATACAAAGTGATTTTCAACAAGTTTAATGCATCTTATCTAGCTGATATCCTCTAGGACTGCTCTGATACCCTTTACTGCTTTTTAGTGATTTTTTTTTTTTTCCCTGTGTAAAAAAATAGCACTTTTCTCTAAATGAAACACTGTTCTGTCACTGAGGATGGGATGTGGACTTGTGGAATCAGATTCTAGGGACAGATGATCTGTTTTAACATTCCCTGGAGAATGTTACTACTGCTCAGAATGTAGGCTGCAGGTAATAAAAGTTGGTGTGTGTTATTTTGGACAGAAGAAGAGGGGAAATCCCTTTGATTTCTTTTATTCTTGGAGCAGTGATTATAGGAGTGCCAAGTCTGTCCTGCAGGGGTGCTCCATATGAAGTGCTGGCACTTCCTAGCTAATTTCTGTTTAAAAAAAAACCCTTAAAAATCAAAATTTTCAAAACCAGATCCACCACACAAATAAGCCCATCTACTGCAACTACCAACCTCCCTGGCCTTGATAATAAATCCCCTGCTACATTTTTAAACCAGAAAATGAATTTTACAGTTGAAGCACGTTTATTAAGCTTACAAATGTGATCCCCACCTCCCATTGCCTGCTTTCTATACAAATGAAGGGTCATTTGAAGGAAGAGATGTCATTTGGTACCTTAGGAAAACATGGTGGTAAGGAGCTGTTTCTGGTACATTCTTTATGTTCTCGCTGGGGTTGGCAGCTTTCAATACTCCTTGTGAGAAAGGCATCAAAGCCTGAAGGATGAAACAATAAGAGAGGGATATTGCTCGATATTGTTAGAGCTGACTTTTTTCTTGAGGCTGTTTTCACACTTCCTCGGGCAGTAAGAGTTTTAAAAAAAAGTAGTCTCTAACATGAAGCCCACTTCTGGAGTCTGATAAGATAAAGCTAGACAGGCCAAGAAATCTTTATTTCTCTGCAAAGTTATTGGTTCATGTCTCATGTCCACAGATTAAAGAAAAAAATTGATCTTGCTTTCAGACAAAGAATTTTCACAATGCTGAATTTTCACAATGCTGATTGTCGAGCATGGGTTAATTTGCTGAGTTCTTTTTCCTCCTCAATGAGTGGAGTGTTTTTGTTATGGGGCTTTGTTCAGGTTTATATGAAAATGTGTCTTCATTCTGCTTTGAAGTTTTTTTACACATTCTTATGAAAACACATACTGCAAGTATTTCTTAGCTATGAAGGGACTAATCTAATCTTACACTTCAGTTTGTAAGATAATGTATTTCCTCTTTCATCATTGGATTTAGACTTACTCTTTAAAAATAAAAAGGGAAAAAGGAGATAGGAGACAAGACTTTGCTAAGCTGAAAGAACATGAAATATTTTTTTTCCTCCTTGTCTTCCTAAACATACCCAAGTAATCCACTGACAGGAGAGATGCCAGGAAAAGGTGCAGAAATACCTGTGTAATGACCTTTGCTATTAAAATTAACGTGTGCCTCCTGCACCTGTTCAGAAATGGTTTAACATTCTTCTGACTGACTTCAGAAACACTGGGTAATTAAACAGTACTTTCAGTGAAGGTCAACTCTGAATTAGTAGTTCATTAAATTATTTGTCATGCTGAATGTTACTCCTGGTCACCAGCAGAAGTGAATTCAAACAAAGAGCAGAGGAATGTCATTTCTGTGCTCTCATTGCAGGGAAAATTGCTGTCTGAGCTGTTAGGTCACCCAGCAGGGAGGAGCCCTCATGCCCAGCACAGAAAATCCTTGTTTGCACAGGGATTGGTAGAGGTGGCATACTCAGAAACATCTCAGGAGTCTGCTACCTGCTCTTGTTTCAGAATATGCATGTAAGAGCTCAGTTGTCCTCTTTGTGCCCTGAAAAATTAGTTTATATTGGCAAGGATTTCTCTTGTAGTGTCCCACCTTTTACACCAGCTACAAGGAGGACCCATGCCTTTTTATTGTAATTTTATGTGGTGGTAAAAGTTTGAGATGGAATAGATTATGACTTAGACATCCCAACACCTGCTGAAACAAACCCGATTATGAAAAGGATAATTAAACCTGACTATAAATACTGCAGTGTGAACCACTTGGCATCCGATTTTCTCACACATGAGAGGCAGCAGTGTATTTCTGTGAAGTTCTGATCTGGCTGCTCTCTCTTGCATTTCCAGCACTGGTCTTCAGCAGTTTTTCCCCATAAGGATGGAGACTAGAGCCTCATGTTCCTCCTTGGGCCTGTAGCATCCATAGCTAGGTGCAGACACAATGTTTGTTCTGTTTTCTACCCAGACTGCATGTTTTTAGTTCCTTCAGTGTTTGAGTAGGGCTTCCATTTACAATCAGTGGGAATTTAGGATTATAACCTGGACTGATGCACCCTCAGGTTGATCAGGAACCCTGTCAGGTGCCAGGACATCCCCTGGTGGCTCTGAGTCCGTGGCAGCAGACCCAGAGCAGGTCCCAGCAGTCTGTCTGTCCCTGTGTCCCTCTGTCCGTGGTGCTGGCTCTGGAGCTGCCCTTGCAGGGACGCAGGCAGGGGGACCAAGGCGTCCCTGCTCCCATCAGGTGTGCCTGGATTAAAACTGAGCCACAAACAGCTGGGAGACCTCTGCAATATTTATCAGACTGTACCTATAATGAAACTCTGCTCTTGGTAATTGCTAGGAGATTAAACCTTTCCAAAGACACAGTGAGTGAATACTAATGCCCTGCTCTCCAGAGGAGGGGACGTCAGGAGAGCTGGGGAGGGAAGGAGGAGGAAAACCTTTCGGTGTTCAGGGGCTGTGATACCAGGGAAAACCTCATTATTTGTTCAAGGCACCAGAACAGGATTTTTATAGGCCAGATCAATCTACAGATGCTCTGTGAAGGAGAATTATTCCAGGGCAGTGCGTGTGAAACTCTTCAGGTCTGAACCTTGGTCTGCTCTTCAGGGATCTGGGTTGGCATTATTTGTTGAACACTTTTTGCTGTGGTATTTACAGAGGGAAGGAAGAAAACTCTGCACTAATGAGATGTGTGAGCTGTTGCATTCTTGCCATCATTCCTAAGGCTGATCCTGACCACTTTGGTTGTCCATGGAAGTCAGTAGAGGTTCCCCCTGCATCTTTCAGGAAGAAGGACAGGAATTTTGCATTATCCTGGCTCTGCCCCTCTGGTTGGAGGGGTTTCTGCCACCACTGCTTGTCCCCCTGTTGTTTCCTGCTGCTCAGTGTCAGTCACAGGCTCAGGAGGGGACTGTGGGGCACAGGAGCTTCAGCAGGTGTGACACCTCCCTGAGCTGCCCGTGGGGCTGGACTCAGCCTTCAAGTGCCCTGACTAGAAAATCCATTACACAGGACAGAACAAGCAAAGTGTGCATTCTATAGGGAATTCCATCTCTTTCCAAAAAGACAATTTGGGAGAGGAGTGTTGTGTTAACAACCCGTGGTGAGTGAGGTCAGTGGGGACAGGAGGGAAAGGTTTTCCACCAGAGCCCAGGGAGGGCCCTGAGGCTGTGGGAACACTTGGGTCAGGGAACTCTGCCACAGCCAACAGGATTCTTTGGAAAGATTGCTAATACCAGACTTCCAGGGCCAGATTAGGACTTTCCAGTCCAAACTGCAGTGGGATGGGGGCTCCCAGTGCACTCAGACTGTCCTGGCCATGCTGCCCACAGCGGGTGGGGAATGTCCAGTGGCACGCGGGGGCAGCTGAGGTGTTCTGAGAACATCACCCACGGGGAAGCTGCTGTGGTGACAACCCAATAACTGCAAATTGTTCCTCTGAACACGAAGAATATAAGGTAGAGATCAAATGTTGACCCTTTTTGTTCCTCTGAACACGAAGAATATAAGGTAGAGATCAAATGTTGACCCTTTTTCAATGCCCAATGCTAATGTGTAGATGGTAGCATAGCCCAAAACCCAGGTGTCCCTAAATATTTTTTATATTTGTTATTTATATGTTTTGCAAAAAACCCACACAGAATAGACAACAGAATAAGTAAAGAATGCCACATAGTTGAATGGGAAGGCAAATAGATGGATGATACAAATTAGCCAACGTCTTTCTGTCTGGTTTCTTGAATAATAGTTACATTTTATTCATGTATATTGAGCCAAAGATATAGCCACACACTAAATCAATTGCTTTTGAAAATAGTATTAAAACAAAGAAAAAAAGGGTGTTTTAGATGGTCAAGAAAATGGAAACTTCAAAAAATCTTTGCAAGGCTCACTGAAGAGATATTAATTTTTCTGTGGACTTTGTAAATTTATGTTCATTAGAAACTCCCAAACTCTAAATGACTTTTAAATTATATATCCTGTGAGGGTAAAAAAAAAAAATATCCAAGTTTTCATTTATATATATTAAAATTACAGCTGAGATTCATGATTTTATTGTAGTGCCTCAATCCCATTAACATTGAGAGAAGTTAGATATTTAGATACCTTTGTGGAGAAATCTTACAAAATGAGGTTTTTAATGGACAATTTAATGAAAGTGCTGCTGTGTGTGCAACAGCTGACCAAAAAAAAAAAGCTGGCAAACCCCTGGAAAAATGGAGAAAAGAGGGATAAGAAATAATTTTGAAGATTTAATATGTTATGAAATCAATTTAAATAGGGGAAGTACTGAGTGAGGAGGACACGGGTGTTTGTGCAGCCTCTGTCTCTGTCTCTGAGGTTAATTCCAGCAGGCTGTGCTGTCCTGGCTGTCAGCCCTGCTGGGACTGGCCTTGCCCTGAGCTGGGATTTCACACCTGCCACTCGCATCCCACTGCTGCTGCTCGGTGCCTGCAAGGGAAAGGAGAGCAGGCAGCAATCTGGGGGTGTCAGGTAACATCTGTTACCTAAAAAATCACCCTGCCGAGGCCCTGAGTGCCGTGCTGTAAAAGTATACTTGAAATATCTCACAATATTTTATAAAACGGTCCTATTATATGTGTTATAAAAAAGGCAGCCAAAGGTTTTCCTGAAGTACGCTTAATGAAAATGAGGAATATACTGACTCTGCCAGGCAGCTGGAAGAAATGTTGATATAGAGAATTTAATCCTCCACTTCTGGGTTTTCTGTTGTTGTCTGCAAGCCACCCCTGGCAGGGAAGCACGCTGTGATTTCCTGAGCAGCACTGATGTTCCTCATGTCTTGGACACAGTTTTTACTAAAGGCTCCTGGGAATGCTCTGGTAGCAGCTCTGTGCTGTGGAGGGAGAATGAGAAGAATGAGAAAACTTTGCTGCCAATAACAGTTGTTGTCTGCAAGGCCAGAATGAGTCAACATAGGAAAGTACACTTGCTTGTGTGATGTTCTTTATTATTCTGACTGTATTTCTAAATTCCCTGAAAAAGGTTCCTTGAAGAAACTTAGGGATTGCCTGGGAAGAAGAAAAGTTTTGCTATGAATTTTTCAGGAAATCCTCTCATGATTAATCTCTGTTTATACTTGAAATTTCTGTTCCCAGACAGATTTTCCCCATGTTAAAGAAATTACTCTGTAGGAAAGAACAGAATGTCTGAAGAAGACAGTCAACACACACCTAAAATGGTAATTTCATTATGATGTTTTTGTGCTGTGCTTCCATCCATGTTTCCAAGGGCTGATTTGATTATGTAGCAGTTCCTTTTTAGAATAAACCAGCATGTTTAGGAAGGCATTGACTCATGGCAGAGCTAAAACTGACAACAGTTAAATGTAACTCCTTCCATTAACAATAATGGAATTCATGTTGTATCATTATCATGGTTGGAAAGCCTGTCAAGAAAGGAAAAAAAAAAAGCACAGCACAGCACTGATTTATATGGTTTTTATGTCGAGAGCATGTGTCGGTGATCCCAGCTGGACTATAAAGGGCACAGGCATTCCACTGCTAAGATTTAGGTGCCATTTGAAAGTAAAAAATCAGGTTTTGAGGCAAGGGTTGAAGTTAAATCTTGACAACACACAGAAAATAAAAAGTGTGTAATGAGAAGAAAGAAAAGATACTAGGGAGAGGTCAGAAAAAAAATTCTTTAACACCAGAAATCTTTTAAAGAGTAAAAAGGGGCACAATAAAATATGTTTAAGTCCAAGGGGGTAGTTGATGTCAGGCAGTGGGAGAATTTCTGGTGAATTTTTAAGTTGCACACTGAAAATTCCCCCACTGAGCTGGTGAGAGCACGGTGCTGATATCACCAAGGTCATGGATGTGAGCTGTGTAGGGGTGATGCACTGAAGAGTTGCACTCAGAAATCCCTGTGGGTCCCTTCCAGCTTGGAATATCCTGTGAAATCCCTCTCAGAAGTGGCCCAGCTCTCTGGGCAGAAACGCAGTGGCTGAGCTGAGCCTGTGGTGGCTGATGCAAAGAAAACTGAGTGAAGAACTTGGGAGCAAAGGAGGATCGTATGGCTTGGGCTGCGAGCCCAAGTGTGGGCTTGGACTGAGAACAGAAAAATAGTTTATTTACAACAAATGGGGTCATTCCCAATGGAAAGATGAAAAGAGACTTATTTTCTCAAGCTCAGTCTGAGATGAGTCCAGGGGTACAGGATACTATGGTTCCAATCTTGACTTTGAATTGGACCCAAGAACAGTAATAAAACCAAAATTGTTCAAATCATTTAAGAAGAAAAATCCCTTCTGTGCTCATGCTCCCTATTTAAATTTCCTTAAAACAGCATTTCCCTCTTCTACCTGCGCTGCTGAGTTTTTAATATATCTATTTAAATGCAAATTTTGACTTTTGGTCTGTAATCACAGAAATGTTTGACACATAAATTTTTATCAGCAATGTAATTTTATAGAGGAGCAGCAATGGGGTGGTAGGCCACAAATACCAGGGTGATGCATTGCTGACCCTGTTTCAGTGTGGGGAAGTGCCTGCTCCAGTGTCAGCTGATGGGGATGATTGTTTCCTCAGTGCTCGACTTACTGAGACGCATGTGGTGCACTAGAGAACTTTTTAACTGTACTTGGAGTGTTTGCTTGTGTACCAAAAGCTCCCTGAGGACCATCATTTCTCTGTGTGCTCTGCATTGCTGGCATGGCAGGCTGACAGCTGCATCTTCAAGAAGGGAAGGCTTTTTTTCCAGCCTGGCAACCCTTCTCAGTAGGTTGATTGCTATAGACTTGCCTGGGTGGGGAATATTTTACCAGCGTGCTGCCAAATCCAGTGCAGGTTACTCTTTGCTGGCTGCCGAGTGTGTGGTTTGTATTTCATCTTTCCCCACTCCCTTCTGACAGTCTGGCTCTCTCCAGTCTCTGTCCAGGGGGTTGGTGACCACCTGTGGGGATCAGAAAAGCAGAAACTTCCACAGACACTGAAGGGTTTGATCTGCAGCCTTGGGAGAAGCTTGGATTAGTGTAAAAATAAAAGTACACAGACAATATATAGAAAAATCATAAACGTATGTTTCTATAGTTGTAAGTAAGAATATGCCTTAAGTAAGTGAGAAACTGCATTGATAAGATGGTGAAGGGTTCCTGATGTAGGGGTGTGGTTGTATAGAGTAAGCTAAGGGTTCAGAAGTTGTAATTTGTGTGAGACAGAAGCCTATTGGACAAAAGTAGCCGCAGTGCAACAAAATTAAGTAAAGGTGATAGGTCAGAAATGCAAAATAAATCTCATAGCATCAATTCATTGGGTTAGAAAGTTCTACATTGCCTTGTAACAAAGAACTTGTGTCTACTTTGAGCTATGGCCAGCTGCTCTCATAGATCTCACGGCCTCTGAGCCTGATGTTTGTCTGAGCAATAAATCATTCTTGGCCCAATGATGGTCCCATCCCTCCATTAAAAGCAGTGATAAAGGTGTCCCTGGTGTCCCTGCCAGGGCCACATCTGCTGAGCAGGGCCACAGCTGCAGCAGGGGCAGAGCTGCAGCAGGCAGGGTCTGTGTGCCAGAGCTGTGCTCCTGTCTGTCTGCTGGGCAGCCACAGCAGCACAGGACACCGCTGCCTTTGGCCCAGGCTGTGGCACAGCTGGGGTGGCACTGCCACCACCGGTGCTCTGTGCTTGGGCAAGCCACACACTCAGCCCTGTGAACCACAGAATATCCTGGGCTGCCAGGGACCCACAGGATCATCCACTCCCACCCCTGTTCCTGCACAGGCACCCCGACAATCCCACCCTGTGCCTGAGCACTGCCCAAACCCTCCTGGAGCTCTGGCAGCCTCAGGGCTGTGCCCATTCCTGGGGAGCCTGGGCAGTGCCCAGCACCCTCTGGGGAAGAACCTTTCCCAAAATCCAGCCTGACCTGCCCTGGCCCAGCTCCAGCCCTTCCCTGACCCTGTCCCAGGGAGCAGAGATTGGAGCTGCCCCTGTGCTGCCCCTCATGGGGATGTTGAATGAGGGTCCCCCTCAGGCTCCCCCAGGCTGAACAAACCAAGTGCCCCCAGCTGCTCCTCGTGGCTTCCTCCCAGTCCTTCCTCATCCTCCTGGCCTCCTCTGCAAGCTCTAATGGTTCATGTGCTTTCCATACTGGTGCCCCAAACTTCACCCAGAACTCCAGGTGAGGCAGCATTAGGAAACTCTGGTTTCCCATTTGTATTGGCTGGTCAGACCATGGTGCCAGGCATGAAAGCAGTGTTAATCCCTGTCTTGATTTCTCAGGGATCAATAATATCTGAACATAAATTAATTTAAAGAAACGCTATACTCATAGAGTGAGCCAAGTCTGTGCCTTCACTTAATTCTAGTATTAACTGAGTGTAGGTAGCTTTCATTTTACTTATTGTTCAAAATAATTCTGATATTATGGCAAGGATCAATACAAAATGTCAGATATTTTATTGTACTTACAGAAGATAACACACCTTAAGTTCTGCACATTCTGCATTTTATGTTCCCTAGATGCCGTGGCATTAATTACATACTTCAGATTGCAAATGACAGAGGATTTGAAGGGCACTGTGCTACATTTTCATTCTCATCATCTCTATTTTCTGAATTTAGACAGGTTACAAAGTGTTACTGAAGACTTGAACAGTGTTGACGCCACTTAAATGTAGGAGTAACATATCAAGTGTATCAAATAGTTTAGTTCCTCGCTGTTTGTCAAAGGACAAGGAATTTGGAGAGGAGAAAAATCTTGAACCAAAAGCTGTTTGACTGCATCAAGAGTCTGGAGAAATTATTTCTTACATACTTCACTCAGTGGGTTCATGGCTGATTTTCCTGCTCACTGAAACGTCCTGGGGCCTGTTTCATTGCCACTCAAAACCTGACTGGTTTTGCTTTGCTCTGCTAAGATCTGTTTATTCACTACTGCTGAGGTTGGAGTGGGCTGGATCATTAGCTAACTGTTCAAGGTTAACCAACGTTTTGTGCTGAAATGGCTTTTTATGAAACACCTTTTAAGATTTTGAAAATACTTGGCTCTAAAAACCTGAGGTTTGAGTGCAGCCATGGTCATATTTTCAGTGAGATTAAGATTTTGCTCTCTTTTCTCCTCTCTCTCAATGCTGTAAAAACACTCACATTATTTTTAGTCCATTTCTTCTTTATTCATGTGCAAGAACAACAAATGTCCTGAGTATATCTGTGAAGTGCTTTACTTTCTAAGTGCTTATGTACTTTGCTGGACACTAATGTTTAAATATTTGCATATTGAAAAAAATAAGTATTTCTATATTCAGAAATACCACATTAGTGGTTTTCACTCCTCATGGTGGTCAGCCTTTTTTCTCTTAAACACTAAGCAAATTTTATAGTGTAGTCATGCATTTTTTATAAGAATTTTGACACTGGAAATGAACTGTAGGCTTGACCAAGATAAGTGTTCAATGACACATCCACACAGGCCAGATTTCCTATAGAAGGTTGTGATCAGTGTCAGCCAGTTTCTCTTTATTTGTGTCGGCCCTTTCTTAGGTTTTTATCTGTGTTGTGGCCTCGGTTTTTGGGTACTGTCTTCACCAGTCTGGATCTTGAGAGTTTGTATCCTCAAGTCATCAGAGCACAGGTCTGCCAGTTCAGAGCTGCATCTGGAGCTACAGGTGCAGCACCAGGAGAATCCCCTGCACCTCCTATGGTCCAGGAGGATTTTCAGCTCATGCATCATTCCCATGAGCCACTCCAGGACACCAACTTTAATACAATTCACCTTCTTGACCCTCCTTGTCATGTTTTTCCTTTTAAATTACCTGATTTTCCAGCTTAATGTGTGGTAAACACTTCATTAATCATTTTGGTCATGGTGTATTTATAGAAGAGGTGGAAGTGGGGAAAACGGGCTCCCAGTAGCTAAAGCCAAACCAGGGGTATAGCCCAGATGAAATTCAGGAAAAGAGAAATTCTAAGGGGAAGAGAGAACTATTTTTATTAGCAGTTTGTCCCTTTATGGTGACCTGGATACCTGTGCTGATCTTGGGGAAGGGGAAGCCTGTTATTGCCAAGCACTGAAGGAAGCTCTCTGTGCTGGTCTTAGACTGCAGAGGAAGCAGGGCAAAAATGGAATGTGAAAAGGGAGCTAGCAGTAATGCAGTGTTTCAGACCCATTTTAAGGTATTTAATATATATTTGCTGTCATGCCTTTTTTAAAAAAGCTTGTCAATATTTTATTTCAGGTGGGAAAAGTAAAAGCAAATAGATGATTAATGGTGAAACTTCTGTCACCTGCTGTAGGAGAGGAGGCAGCACATATTGAATGTTAGGTTCTGGATGCAGATTTGTGGGGCTCAGTCCTGTGCCAAGCTGTTGTTCAAGCTGGATTGTTGCATGTAAATAAACCACTCACTGTTTGATCCAGTGCCCAGGTGGAATTCCTTCAGATGGAATTAGCAGCTGGCCAGGGGGATGGGGCAGTGCCAGTGAACTCTTCATGTCTCCACGGGACTCAAAGTTCCTCCTGGTGGGTGTCAGGGCTGAAATGTGAGTGAGCTCCACAATGCCCCAGCCTGTGACTGAGCACTGCTGGTTTGGGATTAGATCCAGGCACTCACATTAAATATTGCTCCCATCAGTTCCTGCATGGAAGAGGCTTCTGAAGGGTTGGGATCCTGAACTGCAAATAAAGGAGCAGGACAATAAAAAGAATAGAAATAGGTATATTTCTTCCTCTTTCAAAGCCTTCACAAAGCATTGCTGGATTTATACTCTGTTGGCAAAGCTGAGTTATTTTTATAATTACTGTATTTGTGCACCTCTCAACTGGACTTGGTAGGAGCTCACTAGGTAGAAGTAAAGTTGTGCTTGCTAGGCAAGCCAAAATCCAAAATACCAGCAGGTCTGAATGCAAAACCAAAATTTTTAAAGAGAAAAATCTAAGAAATAAAGTATCTACTTTTACTTGAGTGTTATAGCTATAAATCCAAATTCACTGCCATTACTCATCTCTCTAAGGTGTTGATTTTATAGAAGTGATGCTAGGGAAGCAACCCACCCAAAAGTGAATTAAAATCTAAATCTTAAGTTATCACACAAATGTTTGCTATTTATACTGTCCATCTGTCTATGGTGCCTGACAGATAATCAATATACTCTTACTAAAGAAAAAACTCCTGTTGCTTTGGAGAAACACAGCACTGAGCCCAGCCAGAAGCTCCTGTAATACCCTGGCAGCTCTCTGGGCATAGCTGCATTTGCAGAGTGGGCTGAGAAATCAGGGCAGATGAATATTTTCTAAT